AGTTTACGATGATGCTACCGTGCGATCGCTCGCGAATGAATTCTCAAGGCTTAAAGGTAAGATGCTTAGGGAAGGACTAGAACACATATTAAAATTTCGTCAAATTTCAAAAGTTAAAATATGTATCTATTTCTTTTATGTATCTATTTCATTTTAAGTATGAGTGTTCATTACATTAGTTCAGTTACAAGAAACAGATTTCTGATCAGTTACAAGAACAGATTTCTGATTTATTGCTTTATTTATAAGACTATTAATTTGGTAATTAATTAGACATCGATTCCATTTCCATTAATGGTTTCTTGAAATCTTTACATTTATAATAGAAATTATTCGACTGATACTTGGTTACTTTAACTACGTGACAGTAACATGACAAGGACATGCGACATCATTATAAATTATTTACGTAATGAGACTCTATTATTACAGTACGTTTCAAAGTTTCCGGACACTCTTTCTACCGGCTTTCATGAGTGAGTCATTGAGTCATTGAAAAAATTAATTTTACTTCTCGCATTCTTCTTCTAAATTTTAATTAAATATTTTCGTGACTTCAAGCTTAAATAATATTAAAGTAATAAATTTCGTCTATTTTATATATAGATTTAGTCATCCGTGTAGAGAGTAGATGAGTACATTCAATTATAAAAAGTAAATTAAATCACATAAGTATTAATAGTTAAAACAGCAATCAATGTTAAGCAGATCAATGTTAAGAGCTCAACGTGATGTGCAAGATATATTAATTTTGTTATTTTTGCTTTCAACGTGCTTTCAATAATCTTACTAGGCCAAAAAAGATTCTAAATCATCCATTAAATTTTACACATAAAAATGGTTTTTACAAATTTTTTTAGAACAATGATAATTATTCCTTAAAATAAAAACTATCATGCTCAATAACTATTCGTTACCAATCTGCTAGCTATTGAATTTAACTAGACACTATTCATCTAAACGGTCCTATTGCACCCGACATCTAATCCTGCTCTATAGTTTGATTACGGTCTATTTCGTTCAATGAAACTTTTCTTGCCAAGATACGATTCGAAACTATTGAGCAAGTTGAGATAGACTGTCGTGAGTTATTCGCGTTTAAAGAGTCAGATAATACCTAAATTCGACTTATAATAATAGTGATGAATGGTTATCGAACATGATTTTTATTTTAAAGAATAATTGTTGTGATTTTCTAAATAAATTTATATATAAAAATAAATTTGAATATAAAAACGATAGAGGGTGATTCAAAACGTTTTTGACAATTTAGTAATTAAAAATGTAATACTTTTAGATCCTTCTTTTAATCGACATCTTTCTTTCTTTCTCTCTCTTCCTCTCTCCAAAAGATTTATTTCTGTGGCATTTTTCTAAGGCATCTCGCCATCACTGCACAATGACGGTACATGTAAGAATAAAGCCTGTACTGTACATTGATGCTACGTCATATATCCAGATAATTTAGATGATATGCAACTTTTCTTAATTGTATTATACTTTTTTTCACTCGAAGACTTTCTTAGTTTCTCACTTTGTTTCATTAATTGAAATAAAAATTATAGATGCTTTTCATTAAGATATATTCGAATTGACCAAAAGATCCTAATGAAAAGAATGTCCGATAACTTTAAAATGTTTTGCAAATATATTTCACTAATATTTTCTGCATATTTTCTTTTTACTATATTAAATTTTTATCGTGATTAAAAAATCAATACTGGATTATTGATTTATCATTATAAGATTAATAATAACATTGATAAAAATGATCTTCAATTTAATATTTTAAATTTAATTTAATACAAGGGAAACGTATGAATGACGCTACATAAAAAATGCGCTAGATTATTTCTGCGTGATCCTTAGGCGAGTGCTACGTGGATCACGCGGGCACAACTCTGTATTCGGATACGCAGATCAGAAATGTTAGTACCGATTTGCATGGCTCTCTCTATACAAATCCCCATTCTACCGGGAGTTCGCTGACGCAGGACATTATCGAACGCATGAGATACCGGTGAGTCACAGATAAATGGACGATTATAATAACGAATTTACAGTTGAATAATTATTCTCAGAGTTTTAAGTCACTTCAATACGAATCCCGATGAGTACAGTGTCATCTTTACTTCGGGTGCCACAGCGAGTTTAAAGATGATCGCAGAAGGATTTCGTTTTACAACGGATGAAAATAACAAGTTAGCAACGTCCCCGCATTCGTCCCCGGGAAGTTTTATTTACATACAGGACAATCATACTTCAGTTCTCGGGATGCGGGATGTAGTCGTGGCAAGAGGAGCCGACGTCATTTGTCTAGGTCACGATGAGGCATTTAAAGTTCTCGGTCAACGTTCAACTACTATTCATGATTCCAACGAAAAACGGAACAGTAATTCTCTTTTTGTGTATTCTGCGCAATGCAATTTTTCTGGATTGAAGTATCCCCTTAAATGGATCAGTGATACGCATGCTGGGGCGCTTTCTGTTTTTGCTAAAAAACCATCGACGAAATGGTATGTTCTACTCGACGCAGCTAGTTTCGCGGCAACGAATAAATTGGATTTGTCTGTTTACAAACCAGACTTTGTATGTCTATCATTTTATAAAATGTTCGGCTATCCCACCGGTATTGGCGCTCTGCTGGTTAAAAATAAAAGCTCAGATGTTCTAGATAAAATATATTACGGTGGCGGTACTGTGGATGTCGCTCTGAGTTTTGAAAGATTTCATAGAAAACGTCAAATATTGTATCAAAGGTAAATAAGAGCATGACTTCAAAAAAATTATCTGAAACAGGCGTTCTCTATCATATTGATTAGCTAAAACAATTTGATTTGCAGGTTTGAAGATGGAACTTTGCCATTTCTATCTATCGCATCATTACAATATGGCTTCGAAATACTTTCAAAGCTAACTATGGATCAAATATCAAAACACGTTTTTTCTCTCGCTAAAACTCTGCATCACTCGCTGTTAACATTACATCACTGTAATGGTAAACCAGTTGTAAAACTTTACTCTGATTCTGATTATGAAGATCATAGTTCGCAAGGAGGGATTGTTACATTTAATGTTATGCGTTCCAATGGTGAATATATAGGATACATGGAAGTTCTAAATATGGCAGCAATATTTAAGATACATCTAAGGACAGGCTGCTTTTGTAATCCCGGTGCATGTCAGAGACATTTATCCCTCTCGACTAAAGATATTCTTCAAAATTACGAGGCGGGATATACATGCGGTGGTATCGCAGATTTAATAAATGGGAAACCGACCGGAGCAGTGAGAATTTCCTTCGGATATATGTCTACAATAGAAGATGTTCAGACAATCTTACTCATGATTACCAAATGTTTCATTGACAAACCATGCATCAGAAAATTTCCCGAATGGTGGAAAGACCACAAGATGGGAATTTTTAAAAATCATATATACAAGAATTTTTACAATACTAATATAGATTATTCTGTTTCATATATTATAAAAAACGAAAAAAATGTAAATAATTTTCAGAACAATTCCCATAATGAAAATAAAAATCTTAATTATTTTAATATTAGAAATTTTATAAATTTTAACAAAATAAACACGCAAATAAATAAATGTATCTTACAACGATTATATGTATATCCTATCAAATCATGTGGAGCATATGAAATTACAGATTCATGGAATTTAAATTCAAAAGGTCTAGAATATGATAGAGAGTGGATGATAATGACATCTTCTGGAACTTGCTTGACGCAAAAACATTATACGAATCTATGTTTGTTGAAGCCGGTTATTGTTAAAAAGCAAAAAATTATGAAACTAACATATCCAGGTAATGATTAAGTTCTGTAGATTTAGAAATCTGCAATTTAAGGGAATGTTAAAGGGACGATTAAACTTCGATGTCGATAATATAGATTTTTTAATTCAGTTTCTTATGTTATCGTTCTGTCTCGAACGTGTAAGGCTCTTACTCTAAACGTGTTAGATCCTTACCTAATATATTGCAGTGCTCTTGCAAGCTGAAACATTTATTAAAGACACGATTACTGCTCCGTTTATCATTCTTTGCTAAGGAAACGTAATACACGTGAATTACATTCAATCTAAAATATTTTCTCCTCTTCCAATCTACAAATTCAGTATTGTTATCAAGTAATTCGAGATTTAATGGATGCTTATGTTACTCAAATAAACCATGTAAAACTTTTATATCAAGTAACTTTAACTTCAGATGATAACTATCAAGCCAAAAGTAAATTTTTTCATTTTTGTGCGATTTTCTTATGAAATTAAATATATCGAGTTTTTTATTTGCATATATTTTAATTGTGTTAAAAAAGTGTTGGAATCCTTCAATCAAGTTCGAAAATTTTGGTTGTACTATAATTCGTGGTAATTGCCTTCGTTCCAATATTCCCTTAATATATAATTATATAGACATAATAATAACAATAATAATAATAATAATAATAATAAATTATTCTAGGAATGCCAACGATCGAAATTTCTTTAGAAAATACTTACGAAAAGTCAATAAAACATCCTATATCTCAAAGTAGAATATGTGAAAGCAGAGTAGAAGGTATTGATTGTGGAGCAGAAGTTTCTGAATGGTTGAGTTTAGCACTTGGCAAACCAAATCTTAGGCTAGTACGACAAAGTCACGGAAGACAAAAGAAAGGTATAAATGTCAAAATATTCAAGTTCAAAGTTACGATTACGTAAATTCTTTATTTTTCTCTTATAGGATTAGATAAGACAGAATTATCATTTTCTAGCCAAGCACAGTATTTAGCAATAAACGAAGCAAGTGTGTCATGGCTCATTGATAAGGTATCTCATGATTTAGATTTTAAAAAAGATACAGCTGTGCATCGGTTCAGAGGAAACATTATTGTGGAAGGCTGCAAAGCTTTTGATGAAATGAAATGGGAACATATTCGCATTGGAAATAATAACTTTAAAGTATGAATTTTTTACAAAGCTATTAATCCGAAGTATATTGCTATAATGCATTTATTTAATTGGCAGATAAATGGTCCTTGCACAAGATGTCAAATGATATGCATTGATCAAACAACTGGTAAAAAGACTATCGAACCATTGAGAACATTAGCGGAAAAGTTCCATGGAAAGTTGAGATTTGGAATCTACTTAACTAGATTGGAGAATACGCAGGGTATGCTTAAGATTGGCGATCACATTTATTATTCCTAATAATTTCTAAATGATTTCTGAACTTTACGTATAATCCTGAGCAAATTACAGAAGAATCTTATATTGTTCTTAAGTATTTAGTATTATTGTAGAGGAAAGGAGGGATTATGAAAATAAATACTATTGTATTTTATTGAAATAACTCAGTATTCATATATTAGCTACTTGAATACAAGATTGTTAGCCATAGAGACCAATAATACTATAGATAGAAGAACTACCTACAGTATAATTGAGTATATAGAATGAACATAATTAAAAAAAAAAAATTGTAGAAGAAAAAAATTGTGGTTATGGAATAAGGGGACAAGAGAATATGTGGGCCTCCTTTTCTCTATCAATAAAATGATTTTTATTTTGTACCTGATTTATAATAAAATGTATTTATAATAATATACAGTCCGCAGTCTGAGGCTCAATTTTCTTCACTGGTTTACCCGCAGATACATCTTTGATCATATCCGCAATTGCACCAAAGTCTGGAAACGCGAGAGTTTCGAGTTTAGAGTATACTAGCTCATCGTTGACTTGCACTTCGAACGAAGCTAAAAATAACAATTATAAGACTTTCATTTGCAAAAATAATATATTCATGTTTTGTATTTGCTCCAGTTCTGATTATATATTTTATATTCGTGTTCTGTTTGCAACTTGCCTTGCCTTCCTGCTGTACCAGAGACAGTGGCATTGGGGACATTTTTCTTTATTTCCTCTGCCAATTCAAGAAAGTGTTTCTTGTGCCCGCATGAACCACTGCAAAATTATAGTAATTTATTTAGTCAGAAGATATATTTGTAAATAAAAATCCTTTAAAAAAGTATATATTTCATATTCTTTTCATTTATATAGTTTATAGAAATCTTAAAAAAACAATTCTAATAAGAATATAATCTTTTATATTAAATGAATTTATATTTTATATTAAATAAATTTGGAAATGATACAAGGCAAACTTCCCAATATCTACCACATTAAAAAA